CATAATTATTCACAGACTGGAGGTTTTTGTGGCCCGTAACTTGAATGATTTGCGTTGGCGGAACGTCGTGGTTCAACAGTGTTTGTGTCAGTGTTTTACGGCCACTGTGATTGGTAATGCGTTTGTTTTCACCAATACCGGCCGCTGCAGCGCACTCTTTCATCAGAGAATTCAGTTTGTTCACTCCCATTGGCTGTGGCTTAAACCACTTTGTGTCAGGGAAGGCTAGCTGCTAGTAAGTAAGTAAGTAATAACTTTATTTAACGAGGGTAAAGACATTGATTACTGGTCACCCAGTAGTTTTCATAATGGCCCTCCTACAATTAAAGTAATAAAATGTATCGATTAATTAATTAACTACCTATATAATCTACCAACTAAAATTACATAATGAACTGCTATTAATACAATATTGATTAATTGACTACTAATGAAACTAAAAGGTTTTACAAATCTTAAAATATCAAGAAAAGAAATCATACTGCGGTAAAGTTTAAATAAGTAATTTTTAAAATTAGTATGGGAGAGTGTCTTAGGTTCGGGATCAAGGGCGTTCCACAAACGGCAAGCGCTTGAGTGAAACTTTCTAAGGCCAGAGTTCCTTTTACAAGCTGGTGTTGTAATATTGTTATTACTGCTCACTACTGACATGATTACTGCTCACTACTCACTACTGACATGATTAACTGCCAGATAAAATGGCGCGTCCTCTACGAGAGTTTCATTGGGTCGTTTTGCCTTGTAAAACTTGTACACAAACACGGGGTTTCGTTCTGGTGGAAGTGAAGGTTGCTCATACATTTTTGGTTTGACCTTCCTCACGTTCGATGGATTATCTCCAGGCCGTGTCTTGGTTTGCCTTTCGGTACAGTATTCGAGGTATTCCTTTCCAAAAGGATTGGTTTTCAAAACCACGTCGCCCCATTTTAACTCCCTTTGCTCCTTCCCTCCGCGTAGACCAAAATGCATACAATTATTTAACCAGAGCGTGTTGATGAGGGCTTTTGGAGAGCTGAAACCCATTTCTTTTCGTCTGAAAAGAATGTCTCTTTCCTCTGGGGTTAGACTGGATGCTTCATTTGGCTTGTTTCCTTTCCCCAGCCGTTTCAAATGTTTTTGTTTTGATTTGAGTGCATCTCTTGTTCTCGCAAAGTTCTTCCCCGTGATAACCGATTCACTGTAGCGGCATTTTTTGAGATAACGCTCAATCGATGCTATAAAGCCACGTAGAGTTGAAGGCTCGTACTCATCTCCGTTCTTCTTTCTCACAGAAAGTAGGAATCTGCTTAAATAATTGTCCAGTTCTTGTGGAGGTATCTCTTCAACTTGTCTATTCTCCTTTTCCTTTGCCATGAGAGAACTCAGTAGAGCCATGCAATTTTTCGTCTTTTTTCGCGTGTTACTGTTCTCTTCGTTGTCAATAAATTTTTCCACTTCTCTAATGTCAAACGTAACAAATCTTTCTGCCATGTTTGCTGGTAATTTTCACAAATTATAAGCGGAAAACA